GTGGAGCGTCTATGCCTTCGACACCACCTAATAACAACGCCAACGCCAATGCCAACGCCCACCCAAATGCAAACCCCAACCCTAATGGGATGTTGATCGATGGAGGGACACAAAACCATCTAAACCCTAACACACCGTTTACATTGACGCCTGCACAGCAATTTCAGCAAATGCAAGCTGGACAGGGAGATCATATGTCTAATGAAGGCGCTGGGTTCAACGGAATGGGATTTGGTGGTAACAGTGGCATGCCTCCTCCTCGTTCGCTTTCTGAAACTTCGCATCCAAATCATAATCATCCATTTCAAAATCCCAGTCATCTAAATCATACAAATCATACAAATTTACATTCACCGCATCTTTCTCATCCTACACACGCTTCACATTCCAATGAACCAATCACTACAAATATGTACCCTCCAACAGGTCGTTCTCCTAGTAGACCACGATCTCAAGCTGGTTCGCCTTCGAATCCAACGCAGATACCTTCGAGGTCTGCGTCGAGAGCTGGCCCAGGGGGAATGGGAGGATTAAGCGGAATGGGTAATGTGGGGAATATGTCTGGCTTAAGTGGAATGCCTAATATGGGAAGCATGCCTAACATGGGCGGGATGGGATTCCCGCCTTCACAACATGCGGGTAATATGACTCTACCCCCTCCTCCGCCTGGTATGACCGGATTGCCGAATGGGATGCCGAGTGGGTTACCCCCACCAGGAATGATTCCTTCTGGACCTGGGAGGTTACCTGTTCCAGGGTCTGGAACGGCGCAAGGACAACCTGGAGGACCAGGAGGTATAGGACCACAAGGACATCAAGGACATCAAGGACAGGGACCCAGTGCAAGTCAAGGCATTCGACCTCAATCATCCAGCGGGCAAGGGGGTCGACCTCAATCTTCAGGTGGGCCTTCAGCGTTGGCGAATATAGCTCCTCGTCCTGCTCCCTTACATCAGCCACATCCACCACATCTTGGTCAAGGATCACATGTTCAACATCCTGGTTTACCTGGTCAACCACAAAGTGCACCTCCGAATACAAATCACCATCATCCTAGTCATTCTAATCACCCTAATCACCCTAATCATCCTAATCACCCCTCACATCATCCACAATTAGGTCCACCACCAAGTCAACTATTACCTCCCCGAATAGAATCGCCCCTATCTCCCGGTTCAGGATTCGGAGTTGGAGATGTGAATATGCGAGATATCAGAGAATTGAGAGAGATGAGCGCGAGGGAGATGGGTATAAGAGAAATGAATATGAGAGAAATGAATATGAGAGAAATGAGAGATATACGTGATGGGAGGGATATCAATATGAGAGATATGGGAAGAGAAATGCGGGAAATGAGAGATATGAGAGATATGAGAGAAATGCGGGACATTAGACCCGCTGTGGGTGGAATGAACAGTGCAGTTTCGGGAGGTTTACCTTCTGGGTCTGTATCGGGTGGCATACCTATTACTGCTGGGCCGGGACCGGGACCGGGAGGTTCTTCTTTGGGACCTATGCCTAATACTGGGTCTATTGGTTCTATGGGTCCAGGAGCAGGAACAGCGTCGAGCAATGCAGTTGCTGGACCCATGAGTGTTCCTATAGGTCCTTCAGTTGGCCCAGTTGGTCCTTCGGGAGTGATCGGTGCACAAGTCATGAGGCACGGTAATATGTGAGTGTTTGATACTCTATCCAGAATTAACCTTGACTAATTTATCAACCCTTCCTTTCTCTTTCTCAGAACACCCACCACCGCCCTCGGGCACGGTCAAGGCCTCATCCGTCTCCTCCAATTCTCCGGTAACCTCGCTTCAGAATCAAAACAAAAACATCAACTGTCCTGGTGGAACGAGCTTATCAAGGAATATTTCACACCCAAAGCCATTATGCGGTTCACCCTGTGGAGGGATAACCAGAGGAATGAAGCGAAACCTTTCGGTTAGTGTTTTATGCTATTTTTTGAAACCATCTAAAGCAATAAAATAAAATCAAACAGAAATCGGCGTTCCGATACTCCCTCGCTTCCTACTAGTAACAACCCAATCCGGTGTCAAATCAATGACTCTCACTCTCGACGGCGCACGCGAACGCTTATACGCATACGGACATGCGATAGTCGAATGTGTAGCAGCAGTGTGGACGTACAAGTATAACAACGGGTATACCGTTGCTTTGAGAGGTCCATTGACTGTACATGTGGTGGTCACTGCTGCGCCGACGCCGCCACCGACAACGACGTCCACAATGACTACACTGTCCGGACAACCTGGAGGTCAAGGACAGGGATTATCAAATGGGGTTTTATCTAATACAGGTCCAGGACCGGGCGGTGGAACACCAGGCGGAACGACACCCGGGACAAACAGCGGAGGCGGAAACTTTTTATTAAAATTCGAAGATTTCCAATTTGATGCAAGTTATCATGACAAGTACATTGCGTTGGAGAGTATCATGGGCCCGAGGAGTATAGAGAGTCCGAAGGGGTATTTACCCGCACCTCCGAATACTAACCCTAATCTTAATTCGTCCTCTGCGACGACTACGACGAATATGGGTACTGGTGCTGGTTCTGGTGCGGGGATAGGTGCGGGGATGGGTATGGGTATTGGTACGCAACAACAGCAACAGCAACAACAAATTCACACTCCGCGAATGCGAACCGCTCAAGTGCGAAACGGAGCCCCAGCGGCTGCTGTAGGAAATCTCAACCCTCTCAATCCTTCTGGGACTTTGAGTAGTGCTTCCTCCGCTACGATGTCTTCGACAAATTCCTCTCCGGCGATTAACGGAATTGGGATCTCGGGTGTATCCGGTGTACCAGGCTCATCTGGGTCTCCTGCTATGATAAACGGCGACCCGAACGAGGAAGATACAAAACCTCCATATCCTTCGTCTACTTATCCTCCTTCCTATAACCCATCATCATCATCTCATAATCTTTCCACCTCCACCCCTTCCGCACCTTCTTCGCAATGGGACGAGCCACGGGTGCTCATCTCCCAAGGCTTCATCCCCGGCGAACCCGTAAACGCATTCGGTATCCCACAAGCTACGATGAGGTGTCTCGAGCTGGCGGAAAGTGTTGCCCAGATGGGTGATTTAATTGTGTTTTCAAAGGAGGAGGCGTTAGGGCCATTGGGTGAGTATTGATACTTGCTCTCGTATGCGTTTTTTTTTCATCTTCTCGACTTCATTTTTCCATTCTCTTTGTGGAGGAACGCTGACTGGTCTTTTGTTTTTTTGTTGTCCAGAGGCTCTAGCGAAAATGGCAACAAAAATAAGAGAATCGATGCCTTCAAGTCAACTGCCATTGATCAACGGTGTTAGTGCACTTGGCAATAATCCTCATAATCTTCATAATCCAAACAACGCCCACAACCTCCCCAACCCGAATGCCAACCTCCCATCCCCATCGTCCGCGTCAGGTGCGTTTGGATTTCCAGTAAGTCAAGGATCCAACTCAGGTTTATACTTCTACAATCCAGGCAACACTGTTAACCAGATGAACGGAATGAACACAATGAACGGAATAGGCAGTCCCTCAATGAACATGACTACTTTATATTCCAGTGCTCCTCCTTCCGTGACCAACCCCTCTTCATCATCACACCAAACCACAAATCCAAATCCATCTACATCCGGACCCACTACTGGATCATCACCCCAAACCCGGGGAGGAAACCAAAATAGTCACAGTCAAACTTCATCTCCGTCAGGAATGAATATAATGAGTTCGCCAAGGAAACAACATAAGAGTATACCACAATCATCGTCTTCACAAGCTGGGTCTTCTCCTGCGAATGTATCCAATGTAGGAGCTTCTTCCTCTTCTTCTTCCACCTCCAACAATCATCCTAATAATCTCAACCTCAATGCCAATAATCCTAACACGAACCCTAATCCCGGTCTATCATCAACATCCAATGCTACTGGTACAGGGACCACATCTACGACGTCGTCTACGACAACGGCTAGTCGCTCCAATCCCAATTCAGCACATACGACACCTGCAATGGCGCCTGCATCTCTGAAACGAAAACAAGTTTCATCTGATACTTTGTCTGGTCCTTCTGGTCCTTCTTTAGGTTCAAGCTCAGGTTCAGGGTCTGGTACCGGTACCGGGTCCAGTAATAACGCAGGAACGGGTGCAGGTTCTGCTGCAGGAGGTCCAAATACAGGCGCAGCAGGGCTCGGAACAGGGGGGAATGCAGAACCAGGTTCACAACCTCCTCCAGCGAAAAGGGCGACGAGGAAGAGAGGCAGAACGTCTACATCTGCATCTACAGGTGGAGCAGGCAGTTGACGGCGGTGATTACGAGGGGGCTTCTACTGGATAATATGATATATGTGGTGTGTGTGTGTGTACGTATCCAGGATCCCTTCTCGTTATTTTTCTTTTGCCGTCTTCTGGTTTTCGTTTTGTTTTGTCTTTATCTACTACTACTACTACTACTTTACCATTCACATCTAGTATGTTTCTGCTGATGTAGTTATGTAGTTATGTACATACTTTAAATACTCCCCTGCCTACTTATTATCTGCTTATTCCCTGCATTGTCTGTATACTCCCTTGTTCCCTTTATTCCTATGTTCCTCTATCCCTCCTTCCTTGTTCATCTGTTCCTCTATTCCTCTTCCTCTGCTTTCTTATGTTCCTCTTTTACATTACAAGGCTGTGTTTCCTGATGGTTCTATTACACACTTTTTTTCGCTCGTACACTCGTCTTAAACGTAACCCTTGCTGCACTCTGAAATCTGGATTTTCTTTTCCCCCTGTCCCATGTATGTTCATCTCCAACTAGAAATCCTGCTTCCAATTGAGTCTGTACAGCTGTAAATTCTGAGCCGCCAACGCCAAACACCGGCCTGTTGAAAGAAATAGCTTACTTTGAAGTTTCTAGATCCATATGCATTTAGAGCCTGTTGATTCACATAGTTTTCTTATCTCATGTCGTGTTGGAAAATGGGAGAAAAGTGTGGCATGGAAACCGAAAAATAAATGACCACCGCAGGGGTCGAACCTGCAATCTCCTGATTACTGGAATACTGCACTTAGGCAAGTCGTAGTCAGACGCGATGCCATTTCGCCAGGCGGCCTTGCTAGTGTAACATCAAATTTAATGCTATAGGGTTAATTGCGCATACCAACATAAATTGGCAGAGAAGGCAGGAATAAAACAAGAGAAGAAACTAATTCCTGTCAAGCACAGAGGACATGATTCTTTTGCAGAATAAGATGCAAGGATCTACAAGGTTAGCAAGCTTGGTTTCGAGGTTGCTTATGAGACCAGGTAACGAGATGATAAATGAGAGACAAGACAATTGCTCGTTTATAGAATTTGCTGTAGATTGAATGATTACACCCTTTAGACCTTTATCTTTTCATAATATAAGAGCTGGGTGGAATAAGATGAGTAGGGAATCTTCGTACAAGGCATAACAATACATAACCGGGGATCCTTTCTTTGACATTGGAATCATTCTTCTCTCAAAAACGCATCCAACTCATCGTCCAGTTCCTGCTGGCTCTTCTTCGGTCGATCCCTACTCTCATTCCCATCTCGTTTCCCTTTTCCTTCATGATGTTGGTCATTCCTCCCGCGCCGCGGCGTCCGTCTCTCAGAGGTAATGCGTCCAGATGATACCACCCTATTCGACCATACCCTATCTTCTAAACTAGCTCCGCTACCATTCGTATTGCGGTTTTTCTGAGCGCGTCGAGGTAGAGGTGCGAATATCCGTGATGCAAGGTCGAGTTTGGGTGACGGTTCTCGAAGTAATGTGCGTCCGTCGCTAGCGATATAGTCCGACCGCATCTTCGATGATGGAGGTTGCGGCTCGAGGCCAGCGGCATCCTCTGCTTCACCCTCTGCTAGAAACTCGTTCAGGTCGTCGTCAAGTTGTTCTTTACGTAGAGCAGCATCCGGTTCGTCGTCGTTCCATCGTCTCTTTTTCACAGGAAGTTCCCGACCATTAAATAATTCCTTCCCTGCCATCTGACCATGTTTCTTATAGAACTCCGAATCACCTTTAGCTCCACGTTTCTTTACGTCGTCTGTCCTCGCCCAACGCATCTTAATAACACCTTTCATTACAGAATGGCCTTGGGCCTTGCCTAGACTGTGATTTATACGTTCTTCTGGAGGCCAGAATGCTATAGGGATGGGTTTGGCGGTTATATATCCCTCGGGATCGGGTTCTTCGCCGAAGGATTTGCTGAGATACCGCAAACCGGTACGTGCAGCGGATTTGGAGGTGAAGATGAATACGCAGGTGTTGTCGTCAACCCATTCCATGCCCATTGGGTGTGCGTCGAAGTGTGTTGCATAAGCGAAGAGACGGGCAGTGGGAAGGTTGGATATTGGGACTCCATGGAGTAAGAGAGCGTTGCCTCGGAGTGTAGGATCTGGTTTGTAAGTTAGTTCAATGATTTTAGGAATGAAATAGATATCAAAGTGTTACCATCGTCCATTACAACATCAGCGTCGACCTCTTCAGTTTCTTCAGTCTCTGCATCTCGTTTCCGCTTTGGTAGGTCAAGAAGTGGTCCAGAGTGACGAGGAAATTTGTGTTCATAACCAAAAAAAAAAATGGAGAGAAGGAAGTGTAAAAGAAAGAACCAGCATTCATTTTTCATAGTTCTCAGCGCAAAGTGTGTGACCAGCGCACCTTGCCGCCTCTGATCACCATAGCAGACGATTCTGAGAGGAGATAGACTTTGGTGTTTCCTATTCTGCTAGCCAAGGCTGATTCTGCGCCAGTAGGGAGTTGTTCCTCGTAGGGAATAGATTCATCATAGGAAAGGCTTTGGTCGGAAGGGTCGTTGAATGGTTCGAATGATTCGGCGATGGAAAGACCAGTCGTTGAGGAGATGTCCATTATAGTGTAAGGAAAAGAAGTACGTTCAACGGGCCGGTGATACTTGATATTGAAGGCTGACTCTTTTTCCACAGCCTGAGGCAGGAGAAGAAAAAGACTGACTTAGTTTGCTATCTCAATTATCATATATTCAGTGATCTTTCTCGTCATAATTCTCTCCTTGTCTCGAATAGTGCACTCGGGGGGGTTTTCTTTACATTACCTTTGTTATATAATGTAGTATAGTTGACCAATCAAAACTTATCTTCATTGTTTTCTTCAAAAAACATTGGATATTGATTGTACATAACTCAAATCAATACAGAGAGCAACAAGATCATCACGGAGAAGTAAAAGCGTTCTCTCCCATTCTTCATTTCCTCCTTCAGAGGCCCATTTCCCCAATGTCCGTTGAACCAATCAAACCGTTTACCCAAAAGACAAAATTCCTTTCTAGCTAATATCCCCCGAACTCTTCCTATTTTACTAATCATTCGAACCAGGGAGCTTTCAATCACCGCACCGACCCAATATACTCCAGTAACGTTAGTGTCCATATCTTTGCATCGATCCGCATCTCGATAAAGGTGACGGTAGCAATCATGGGAAACATTCGCGAGGATAGTGCTCAACATACCGCTGAAAGCGAACCAAGGCCACTCTCCGGGATAAATTACCATCAGAACCAACCCAGCGAAACACCATAACAGCAACATCTCTGCGCTGTTGGGCACCCAGACGCGATAGCAGTATTCCGGGTACAGCTTCACCAGCGCGCCGTCTCCCACCGACCACATACAAAAACGCCAATAAGATCTAGCACCATTCTTCCACCAAGGATGCGTCACTTTTACCAACAAATCCTTCCCCGCCTTGTTCAATCATATACGCGCGTTTCTACCTACAAAAATCAATATCTTCACCTCCACCAGTCTCTGGAAACGTCAGATCAAATCTCACGCCATCTTAAACGTTTCGACGAGCGATAATGTTTGCAGTGACTCCCCAATGGATATCAGTTGGAATTTTCGACGCAATGTTCCAAAAGAAGATGACGCCGGAAAGGTGTAGAGCAGCGGTGAATATGGTGTTTGCAGGGGGGAAAAATGTGTTCCCGACGAAGCCTACAGCATTTAGGTTGCTGCGTATGATGCGTTCGGCCTGCAGTAGTAAGTCGGGTGAAGGAATAATATCATCGTCGAGGAAGTAGACCCAGTCTGCCGCGGACTCTTCCATGCGTCTGTTTCGAGAATAGGATGCACCCGAGTTTACTGAATTGACACGGATCCGAGCATCAGGACGATGCGCATGTCGTTGATTGAGAGTTGCGATGTTTGGAGAATTAGGGTCATCCACGATGATTATGAACATTGTGGTACAAAAATCAGAAGTCAGAAGTTGAAGGATCGTGTCGAGGATCCCAAGGTCAACTCTGTAGCAAGGGATTACAACGTCCAAGGTAAGGAATTTCTGTGGGATTGAGAAACCATTTAGTTCTGCCCGAGTTTGTAACCAATGTTCCACCGTGGTCACAGCAGAACTCAGAGTTCCAAACGTCCAGTCGTGAGTGTGCTTTTTCTCGTAGCGAGCGGCAGATTCCCCTCCAACTTCATTAGAGATCTTGTTACCAATCATCGTCGAGCATCCCCACCTTCGGTACAATTGGTAGAGAAACGGATCGCCATCTTGATTAATGAAGACAGATAGAATGATTTCACCATTGAAGATATCTAAATGTGTGCGATGTACGACAGGAAAAGTGGGCATTCCAGGGAAAGTGATGTCGGTGAATGCAACGCATCCGAATCCAAAAGGGATACCTGGTTGCGTTTTGGCTAATCGCGAGAACTCGGCATGGACGTCTCTCATCCATCCTTCATCCTTGAGCTTCACGTCATCACCCATAAGGACAAAGTAGTCGCATTTGTCGTCCCAAGCTACCTTCGCACAGTCCCGCCAGAGCTTGCAAACATGCCCTCTGGGATGGTTGCACAAGAGCGTCTTCGTAGACATAAGGCCTGCATCGATCAGAACTCTCTCCGCTTTATTTAAGCCATCTTTCTCTCCTTCTAGAAAGGAATATATGGTATCAAGATTTTGATTTTGCATCTTTCCATGTTTGACTGGTTTGTGACCAAATCGTATGACACATCCAAGTCACCAGATGCAATTACTTTTATTCTCTCATGCTATTATCTTTTCATTATATTATTCAGGACTTTCTACAATACTTATTGTTTTATTCCAGATACTTATTATTCTTGTTTTAACAATTAGTAATACTGGTATATAAGCCTTAGTGTTTAGTAGATAGTTCTCCAGTTCAAATATCAACTTAGATCATTACTAGAACTCCATCCAGGACTCTTCAGTCTTACTCCTCTGTTGACTGCATTTATCTGGCCAACTTCTGGAAATACTTACTTTACAAACATGAATGGAACCATATGACATAGTGGGGGCACTACCAATAGTGGTGCTAAGGTTCTTGTTCAACTTGATTAATATTTCAACCTACTGACCAATCATCAATCATACAATACTGTATGAGCTTGGGTTCAGTTATACACTTCTGCTTCTATCCTACTCATTTGAGACCTTACAGAACCTCACTGGAACAGTCTTAACACATTGCAGGATACACAGGACTTATATTTAGGAAAAATTCTACACTTTGTTGTTGGATTTATATTTCAACACAGAGCAGATAGACACACATACTGCATGTGACATTTTTCACAGTAAGGTTGACAATAGTCTGAAAGATTGAGAGGTTTTGCCATTTTAATGTGTGCTGGAATTGCAAACAAGACTACAGTGCTTGCACATCCTTGTAATTGGTGGATAGTGGTGCAAATATTCCCATCTGTGTGTGGACTAGTATATCTGGATGGTTCAGGAGACTAAGTAGAACAGAAGATATTGAGAGGGTGAGGCATTAGGAATAAGCCAAAGGTCAAAGAAAATTCTGGATGTCTACTGCAGTTGCCATTGTTCTCATAAAATAACTTCTTTTGCCTATATTATCAAAATTAGCACAAGTTGATCACTCCTAGAATGTCTCCTACATTTTTAGATCCTTAGTTAATATTTTATGACTTGGTAGACTTGAAAGTAGTCACCTGATAAGGTGTTCTTTGCCCTGAAGCTCACCAACAGTCTCTTTGTGGGCTGCACTGATGAAGATGGTCTGAAAAGCATATACTTTTCCTCTTTTCAACAATTTCACTCTTTCAGCC